TATGTTAAATAGTTACATATTTGGGTAGCTTCTTCGAAACTACTTGGCTTTGACCTGGTTCTGCTCCCATTTAGGCCAATTTTCCACACTGATTTCAGCAGAGAGGGGCCCATACTCACCCAGAGAGCCCACAAACACGCTCTGAGGGAGCTGAGGAAGGGTGCTGACACTGCAGACCAGCTCCAGTGTCTTCTATCAGCTTGTTGCGTGAATCCAGCTTTGTTTGTGGAGAGTTCTTCTGATCTCCACTGTTCCAAAGACCCACTCCTGTATCTTCTGCCAGTACCAAAGATGTTGGAGGAACGTGCCCGGCATACAGGAGCAAGAAAGCAAAACTGAAGTGTTGTCTGGGGAGCCCCCAAACCTGGTCAGTGTTGGAGCTCTGTGGACCAGATTCTCCTTTACAGGAAATCAATCTACTAAGCTTAGTAAAGGTCCCCTACTTTAAATGCTTTGGTTTATTACTGTCAGGGCGGGAGGTTGCCGCAATGTGAGAACCTGACTGGTGGGAGGTTGGCAAAGGCTTGCACGGGTTCATAATCCAGAAGGGCAGAGGGGAGGCAGCGGTTAATCAGTTGCTAGCAGTAGCTCCTGATGCCTAGAGATGTGGAGGGGGAATTTTCCTTTTATCCCAAGCCCTTTTCCTGTTCCTCTGCTCTCACCCAGGAGAGTAACAGAGCGATGGCCAGGGCCAGAGTCCCAAGACAAGCCCAGGACCTCACTTGAGGAGCAGGTCCTCCTTGGCCTGCCTAGCCACAGCTCCCCAGGGTCAGCACAGCATGAGCACCTTCTGCAGCAGCAGAGACATGTCATCACTGTTGGGAATGATGCCTGAGAGCTGCGCAGGGAACTCAGCGGGCTTTGGTCTGCCTGTGAGCTGAGCTGCTAACTCCAGTAGTAGTGATACCTGCCTCCCAGCACTGGTCACCACTAAGACCCATTGTCTCTCCCTGAGCACCCTACAGCACATTGCCGTTGCCAGATGGGAGCTTCTTTGAGGGCTGCTCACAGCCTTGTGCACTAGTTCCAGGCGTGCAAGGGCTTCCTCCTCCAACGGAGATCCCTGCTCTTTACAGTGAGAGGGAGAAACGGGGTGGAGGAGGTAGAAGAACAGCAGGGAGGTTGGAGGAAACCAGACGTGACAAGTGCTGAAGCAGAGCTCAGATTTGTGGTGGCTTCTCGCCAGATGAGATCACAGCTCCTACGGAATCTTGTCTCCTTCCATTTCCTTAATATTTGACTTTCTTGCTTCCTCAAGAAGCAGGAATTGCTATCTTCAATCACTTGCTTTGAATGCTGTCTACATCTCAACCAACAGTGCAAACAGTGGCAGGGGGGGGTGACTGACAAATGCCACTGTTTATGGTCTGCAACGGAATCCCTCTAAGCCTGTTTGGAAAACTAACTGGGGATGGAGCCTGGATTAGAAGAGACCTTTCCAGCTCTCATCCTTGTGCATTTATGCTAGGATTATTGAAAGGGAGGTGGGATGGGGGATGACTTGGCATGCCTCCTTTCTTGTGGTCTGCATTCGGTAGTGCAGATTAGCTGTGGAGTCTGGAAGTGGGTCCCTTTTGAATGTCTGAAGTTAAGCACGTAAATCCTTAAGAGCATGGAGTCTTAGGCTGGTACAGACTTTGTACATGTGCTTTACGCCTGACGGAGACCAACCTTGCAGCTGTAAGCTGGTGGAATGTAGCAAGACAAAGGGGATGCTATTACTTTGTATTTTGGGGGGTGTATAAAGACAGGCAGACAGAAAACATGCAGCTTTCTATGCCCGGGGGAGACTCTGCCCGGAAACATGTACGTGCTGCATACAGGCTCTGCCTGTGGGAATTAAGGGAGACAATGCAACAGATAGTGAACAATGAGTGTCTGTAATGTACAGCAACAAAGCCAAAGTAACCCAGTGTGCTGCAGAACAGAGAAAGAGACTGTTAAAACAGCAGCCTCATGAGGTAGAAGTCCTGCCAAGCCTGCTTAGAGGACAATCAACAAGCCCTTCTCAGCTGGAAGATGGCTCAATGCGGTGGAAAAAGGGTAAAGAGAGTGGGATGAAGGAGGAAAAAAGAGGCATCTCCAGGGGCCCTTTGCAGGAACAAAAAGTCGTCTTCCTTTTAGTTAGCCTCTGCCTGTGAATTCAGATGTCAGCACAGTCAGTACAACCCTTCATCAACTGCAACACAAGTAAATGGGGCTTTTGACTGAAACGAAACCCTGAAACCCTTTACCTATACCAAAGTGGAATCCAGGTATTTCGCTTTACACTGCCCAGGAAAGGAGGGGCCTGTTGTGGTGTCTCCTGTCTCTGTTCCTTTGCTTTAAGCACAGGGTGATGGGCGTGAAGTAGCTGCCTTACAGAATGGGATGTACCTAACTGGAGCTCTCGGATGCAGAAGATGCTCTGCAAACTTCCAATCCGATTTGGAGCAACCCTTACAACACCAGCTGGTTGCCCAGTTACCTCTGAGGTATATGTGCTACAGATGTGACTACCCCTTAATGCCAGGAGCACCCCCTTAAAATCATGGTAGCTTTACTGGCTGATAACTGCAGTTAAAAGGACACATCCCAACACTCCTTTTGCTCACTGCACCATATGTCACAAGCCCATAGCAGGGGACTAAGCGCATGGCTGCAGTCTGTGCATGAGAATTCCCTGGGAGTAGGGAAGCAGGAAAAAAAAGAGTTCCTTGCCTCTGATGGAGGGCCATGAATGGAAAAGGGTAACAACCAGGGTAATACAGAACAGCAGCTGCGGAGTAGCTCCCGTGGGAGCAGGCTGAGCAGAGAGCTCCCTGTGCCACAGATCCGTGCTCATCTCTGCTCTGTGTGTGGCTCACGAAGAGCAGCAGCAGAGCTGGTGTGAGGGGCCCAGCTGTGTTGGTCTGTGCCCCTGGAACAGTGCAGGACAAGGCTGGGAACGGCTTTTCCCCGCAGCGTGAGGGAGCAGCACCCTCTGCTGCTGGCAGGCTCGGCTCCAGAGCACCTTTTTACTCGCAGGCACCCAAGCGCTTGCAGAGGGGAAGCAGCTCCGGAACAGCATCTACAGCAATGGCCCTCTGCGAGTCAAAACACTGCAGCGTGTGGGTGGCTTGTCAGACAGTTTGGTCACGTCCAAGCACTGCTGTTAGGAAAGGAGATGCCAGGCAGCATCTGCTTGCAGCAGATAATGGCAGCAAGAACAGGCCCTGGCTTTGTGCTTCAAAAGCTTTCAACTGCTGCTGTTCCCAGCAAGTGTTTGGCTGATCCTGTTTGATGGACATGACTCGATACACACAGGGATGCTGCAGGATAAAGCTCTCCATCCCCCCAGCAGCATTCCTCCAGCCTCTTCCAAATCTCCTATCCCCATGAGGCAGCTAATTTACCGTTGCTGCAGAGCAGGAGGAAAGGGGAACTCAGGGGAGCAACGTGACTCACCCTGTGAATCAGTGGCAGTGTCCTGCCTTTCAGCTCTCTCCTGCTAACCACAGACCAGCGATACCCATGGGACTGGGAACACAAGGAAGGAGTCCTGACTCCTTTCCCTCTGCAATGCAACCACGGGGCACACAGCGTGATGCTGTATCTCGACCAAACTGGCTCTCTAGAAAGCTGTGGGATGATGCAGGATCCATGCAATCAGCTGTATCCTATGAAAGATGAAAACCACCCATGGTTTTTCCCCTCCCTTTTGCTGAGGACTTTTGCTTTTCCCAAATTAAGCCGTTTAACATCAGTCAGGTCTATCCCATAAGCACATTCCCAAATGGAATATGCTCACCTCAGACAGACACAGAGTATTTGGTCTCTTCCTCCCGTTTCCTCCCTCTCCCTGCATCTGACCCCCGGTTTCCCTTCTTCAGGTGGGGAAATGAACTAAACTTATTTATGGTACCAGCTGCAGCTCCAGTCCCCGCCAGCTCAGCCAGCGAGAGGTATCTGAGCTCCGATTCCACCCCCCGGATCTCAGCAATCAGCAGGGGAACCCTGCCCACATCTTCAACCACAGACAGGGCTGGGCCAGCCCATCGCACATGCCCATGGGAGAAAAGCAAAGCACGAAAAAAATGCCTGCATCCCCTTAAAAACAGGCTGGGATGTACGGAAAAGAACCTGCTGCGTCCGAGCACGGGTCTCATCTCGGCAACAGCATCGCTGCTCCTTCACACGAGACCCAGATTGGTGTGGGGCTAAGGAGATGGCTACGGTAAAGGGAGCGCTGTTTAAGGGACGTGTGAGGCGATGTCTGGTCACAGCTCCATCAGGACACAGCTCCTGCGGGAAATTCCTCCCTGGCAGAGCGGAGCCGGCACGTCCCAGCGCAGGGAGCAGCCTGAGGGCACGGGCCGGGCCGGGCCGGCCACGGCGGTGCTTGCAGGGGAGCCTGGGGCTGCATCGCTACGGGACATGGTGCCAGCTCTCCGCAGGGGGAGCGGCTGGAATGAACCGGGTGGGTTCGTGTTACCCACAGACATTGCAGAAGGCAGCTTGGGTTGGGATCGCTCTGGCTCCTCAAATGGACTGGTTTTCACTCCCTCCCCTCCATCTCCTTCCTCGCCCCTTTTTAGGCAGCAGTCCCTGGTTGGGGACAGAAAGGCAATAAAGCAAACCCCTACCAAGGCAGGCGATGAATCCGGAGGCCAAATCCTACTGAGGATTGCCCTGAGCTGTGGCCAAGAGAGAGGCCAAGCACAACACCAAAATCTTTGTCCTGAAAAGCATTAAGATGGTTTTGCTGCTTTTGCCACCACTGCCTCTGCTCCCTGTCTGGGGAGGATTCACTAATCCTGTAACTGCTTTGGGTGCCTCTTTTCAGTGCTGTGCAATAGTCTAACCTAGAACAAAATTCTCTCTAAACTAGAATCATCCACTTCTGACCTGGATGTCCCAGCCCTATGACTTGGCTGTTACATCTCCTCACCTGCACAGCCATCTTCCAATCTGTAGGCATCTTAGTTAATTTAGCATTACCGACGGCATCAGAAAGCATCATACACATCATAGCAACATACCTGGACACCAAAGGGAGCGCTGGAGAGGATCTGGACACTGAAGAGGGGAAGACCCGTATCACTTGGTACTACAGAAATGCTCTGCTCTATTAGCAGCCAGGAATGCACTGAAACCTCACAAGTGTGAGTGACAGTGCCCTTTCAGAGGCCAGGCCTCTGTGCTGGGACCCTGCCAGAGCTTGTTCTTGAAGTTCAACTGCATCAGCTCAGCTCAGGCCTTCAATAGATGCTAGCTAAACACAGCTCTATACAGTCTATGTTATTAAACAACTCTGTACTGTGGTGATGGTATCTATGCAACTCGGGGCAAATACAGCTTAGCAGAGACTTCCCGAAGTCTTTCCTGTTAATTTCAGGACCCTGCAAAGAATTGGGTGATTCCATCTTCTCATCTTAAAGGGGCTTTGCCTGTTCCTCTGGGTCGCAAAGTCCTGGCCTCATTTGGATGATACCAATAAAAGAGTCAGCAAACTTTTAAGCCTGCACACCAGAAACCCAACATTGTCTTCCTTGTACAACTAGAGCTTGAAAACTTCCCCCACCCAAAGGACAGGGAAAACCCCAGCCTGACCACCAGACATTGAGAGAAATGAAAAGACACTTGCACTAAAAAGCATTTCTTTTTTTATAAATATAATTCTCTATTTATTACACACGGCAAAAAGAATCACAACTTTTTACTCATGGAAAAAGAAGATTTTACAGCTCGATTTATAGAAGTCGAAAAACGAATTACTTCCAGTGTTAGTTTCCTGTAAAACATACCAATAATCACAGCACTGAATTCTTGGAATGCACTTTCATTAAAACACCCAATGAAATTGGTATCAATACTCACTCGGGAGAGGAGCAGACTCTAAGAAGTTACCCCCAGGAGTTGCTTTTGCAAGGAAAGGTTAACACAAGCTCGCTAGAAGGTGCACATCTCCTATTAATAGCCTTCCAACACAAAAATAGCACTGCTTCTTTGGCCTGAGGCCCAGTGGATTTCTACCATTCTTCCTCATCAGATTCACTGCTCATTTAACCCTCTTCCCATCAGCAGCCTCTCGCTTGCCAGTCACAGATTTGATGTACTTAAACAGATTTGGGTTTCATTTGGCAAAGGTGAAGTACTAAAGAGTCGAATGGGAGTTGTCTGTGTAAAGAGTTGTGCAAAAACCCCAAACCCCCAAGGAATCCAGACAGTGTTCACAGAAGAAAGCGTGTGAGGGCTTTTACTGGCTTTAATAAAGTCTAGGGCGAATTTTGGGGTCCCCCATTAGAGACTTCACAAATGAACCCTATTGTCAGCTGGGAAGAGCAAAAAACCCCTCCAGATGCTTATGTAAAAGTGCAAATAAACCTCTGTAAAATTAGGGCTTATTCCAATAGGTGCCAGCCAAATACTACCAAGCAAGTGTGCAGAAAGAGGAAAACACCAGTGCCACAGTCATCCATAAAGTAGTAATGAACTCTGTCATTCAGAACAAGACATTTATTCTCACACAGGTCAATTTTTTCCTAAAACTTGTTCCTTCACACCAAATGAACTGGAATGAAGTTATTAACACGGCTGGTTTTGTTTCAAACACGAAAAATGATGTTTGAGTTTATGGACATACCAGACCTAAACCATCTTTCTCTGCGCGGCTGTTTCATTCCGGAGCCAGTGTTTGCCAGCACTCATCTAGGAAGAGAGTTACTGCAGTTAACTCCTAGGTGTAGGCTCTTACTCCAGCCTCCAGTGTCAGCATATCCACTCGACAAGCCAGTCCTGTAGCAAGATGCTCGCCTTCCTCCTGCTTTTTTAGGCTACTCTCTTCCCCTGGCATTTTATTTTCACCCCTTGGTATTTGTGCTTGTAGTTGAGGCTGCCTGTAACCACGAAACAGGCAGGAGCACTTATTCATGAACACCCACAAGAGATGAATAACCAGCCATCCCAGTTGCCAAAACAGACCAGTTAAAGGCACTTGTGTCCCTTCTGCCTTTGAGCTCTTGAGAAAGCTACTCCACAACTCCCCTTCCTTCCCAGGCTATAGCAACGCAACACGCATCAGCGCAACTCAGCTTAGTCAAATACAGCATGAAAAGTGCAGCTTTTCTGGAGCATCTGCAAGGTGGGGGGGGTGTCTGCCAGAAACCACAGCCATTCCCTGAGAATTTGGCCTTTTCCAAGGTCTTCTGCCAGGTTACATTCTCCCTGGCGCTGCTGGCTGAGGCACGGTGCGAGTACCAGGCTCTCTAGAGCTTGTGCAGTGCACTTACCCGTGCAGTCAGCAGAGGCAATTCTGATTTCTGCATCAATACAAGCATTATGCTGAAAGGCAACACCTTGTGAACCTGGCTGAATACAGGCTGTACAGACCTGCCCACCTTGCTCCGTGTGCTGTCAGTCCATAGCACCTATTTGTACCCGGATTCGCATCTGCATCACTAGGATCCAGCAGATCCCTGCACAGGGAAAGATGCGAAGCCAATGCTTATTGCCCAGCTTTCTAAAGCAGAGTCTCCTTCTTTTCCCTGCAGACTTTTAGGTCCTTGAAGGGTCACCAGACTCCCAAGTCCACTCCTGACGTTCCTGTTATTCCCTTGGGAGGCTCAGGGCTGTGAAGGGCAGCCAAGCCTGGCACAGTCCCTGAGCAGCCCTGCTGAAAGAGCAGTACACACCTCACCACTGCTGCTTTTCGAGGTCCAGGCGCCATCTCCTGTCAGCACTGGGGTCCCTGCAGAGCCCTCAGGCCCTGGGTCACACACACACACAGCTACTTCTCTGTGGAAACAGGGCCAGCATCCTGCAAAGGTGAAAATTAGGACGGGGAGAATGGGGTCTCTAGGTAGGACTGGATGTGTCCAACCCCTCCTGTGAGCAACAGGACTACACATGTCTATAACCACTTACTGCTGTCCTGTCAGAGAGGCAATTGCTAGTTCCGTGTGCTCAAGGGATAAGCACAAACTTCCCTCCCCTTCTAAGTCAGTCTCTTTGAGCTCAAACCCCACCACCACCATCTGCAAACACTGTAACCACGTTAATGTGTGCTGTACTGACAGATATGTGGATAGTTCATAAAGACACCTCCCATAGTTTTATAAGGCACTCCATGCCATGGCAAGCCTCAATTCTGAGGACAGGGAAAAGGTCATTTCAGAGAATGAGACAAAGACAGCTAAAGAAAACATTTCTTTGCTAGCTAAGCCCGAACAACTCTGAACACCAAGCTTTTCCCTCAACAATTATTGCACTTCAGCCAAATAACAGCTCTGTGAATGCCACATTCTTCACCCTGTCCCCATTATTTTAACAGCATAAAAAGCAATGTGTCTTCCTTCTCCATCCCCATGGTACCAGCTCTGCACTTAATGAAAGCAGCAAATTACTGCTTATAACCTCAGCCTCTGCTGCTGGGCAATTTGCAAAGACTCAGGACCACATGGGAGCTCACAAAGCACTGTCACCATTTAGGGGCTCCGTACCACAAAAGCAGATGGGTGTCTCTGCTTCCAGCCATAGTCCATGTCCGGCTGACACCCCCATGGGCTGCACACACACGAGACTACAGACCCACGGGCACAGAACCATCATTTTGCTGAGACAATGACACTGTCCTGGCCAGGCTGACCAGGGTAAGGGATAAACATGTTATCACTGTCTTCTAACCTGAGAATTAAAACAATAACCATGAAATTTGGCAGGTACTTCGTTTAACAAGTCTCCTGTAGTGCCTGTGAGGTAGTTAAATAATGCTAATGACCACAAAGGCCTGACAGGGAAAACAGAGGCACTTGAAGGTGAGGTAATCTGTCCAAAGTCACAGTCAGAACCCCTAGCAGAGCCAGAAATGCTGCCTTGGGCTCCGGGATCCTACTTAGCTCTGAACACTGAGCCGAGCTCCTTCCCGAGCTCAGATGTCAGAGGCACTGCAGGCCACGCGTTAGAGGAGTCCTTCAGCGATGAAGCTGCTGCTGGCAACAGGAAAACATGGACATTGTGTAGGAAAACCCACGCAGCCAAGGGAGGAGGGACACCGTGAAGGCATCACCCCAGCAGAGCTTCATAATCCACATACCACACGAGCTGGCCAGAGCTGGGGCTGACACCCGAGGCAGGCCATTTCCTGGGCTCGTGGCCCACTCTGCTGAGCAGGGTGGTGATGTCGTGCTTACCCTTCCCCAAAACCAGCACAAACACCCGCCTGGCCTTGTTGATGAGGGGCAGGCTCAGGCTCATCCTTTGGTGAGGTTTGACAGGGCTTTCAGTCAGCACCACGGTGTGAGCCCCTTCCAAACCGCCTGCAGAGTGGGGGAAGAGCGAGGCAGTGTGCCCATCAGTGCCCACCCCCAGCAGCACCAGGTCAAAGCTGGCATTGGCCACGAGGGTTGTGATCTCCTTGGCATACAGCTCCGTGCCCCTGTCCTCTTCCACACAGAGACGCTGGTTCAGGTGCACAGGCATGGGGTGGACGTTGAAGTAGGGCACCCGGACGCTCTGGAGGAGGTGGTTGTGCAAGCTGAAGAAGTTGGACTCAGTGTCAGTGAGGGGGACACAGCGCTCATCCACCAGCCAGATGTGGGTGTGCTTCCATGGGAAGGCATAATGGTGTCTGGCCAGCCGCTGGAATAGGACCACTGGGCTTGAGCCACCCGAGAGGGCCAGGTGGAAGTGCCCAGAGCGTGCCACAGCCCTGCTTGCTGCCTCCTCCATGTCAGAAGCCAGCTGGGAAATCAGGTCCTCAGACCACGCTGAGACCAGGGGGCTTTGCCGAAACTTGGACTGGATGGTCCTGAAATCACTTGGCATCAGCCTCTTGGGGTTCAGCACTTCCAATGGCTCTGCCACGGTGAATGCCACTTCCCCACTCACCATTTCAAAGTCTAAGAGGTGCTGGTTCTCCACACCCCCCGGGTAGAGGCGCAGGGGCTGGTTGGAGATGCTGTTCAGCAGCGGTGTCCAGAATGCCCAGGAGGCCAGCAGGTTCTCAGTGGTAATGAAGAAGTCCTTCCTGCCATGGTAGATGTTGGAGATGAGGACAGAATACGCATCTCTCTCTTTCACAGGGACATACACATAGTAATCAGACAACGGCTGTCCAAAGATACGCAGCTCTGACTGACCCACTTCTTCTCTCCAGCTGCCTTCTGGCATGATGGGCCTGAAGAGGTTCCTGCTCACCAGCACCGCAGGGGTGCTGAGGGCACCGTGCCCAATGTAGAAGACGATCTGCTTGGCTTTACACTGGCTGTGCCCCGCATCCCGCAGGGTCTCGCTCTGAATGCAGTAGGCCTGGTTCTTGAAGAGAACACGGACATAACCCACCCGTTCATCCAGAGCTTTCCCAGAAGTGAGGAGGAAGGGGACCCCTTCCCAACGCAGGCTGCCGCTGTGAACCAGCACACCTGAAATGACAGTGCTACCCAATTAAACCTCAACAGCAAGCAGATTTGAGGGGATCGCTATCACCTACCTAACATTCTCCTTCCTTAGCTCCCAGAAACCTTGGCATCCACTGTGTTTCTTGCTCCACATTCAGCCCTTTCATGATATCACTGCACTAACTGCCCTCCAGCTACCCTGCTGTGCTTCCCACAGGCCTGATAAGCCTCCTTTCATCTTGCATGAAACCAGTTTCTAAGCACGAGTATCACTCAGACAAAATCTTTCATGTGCAGAAGACGCAGCGTGGCCAGAAATGGCCTCGTGGTCTACTAAATCACAGAGAGCTGCCAATGCTTTACCCCTCAGATGCAGGGAACAACCTGTCTTTATGGAAAGGTAAAGCAGTTTGTGGGCCACTTCTAAAAATAACACAGAGATCTTATCAAGAATAATGGGACTTAGCTCTTATGCAATGCTTCATTCCCTGGATCATTAGTAAACTACCATGACAACAGCATTATCTTGTTACACCTCCCAGCTGCCATGCTGGTGGATGCCTGGAGACATCCCTGTGTCCGCGGTGAGGTCCAGAGTCACGGACCTGGTATCAGCACACAAGGACTCCCATCTCCTGCTCTCCTCAGCTCTAGACCATTCCCCTCTCCAGGGCCAAGACCAAACTCTCACCTGCAAAGGTTGGTGTTGTGCTGATGTAGTCTTGTGCCTTCTGCAGTTCCTCCTGTACTTGGCTGGCATAAGCCTGATACTGACCCAACACAGCACTGTTCTTCTCCAGGCCCCACAAGGACTGGAAGGCCTGCAGCTTGCACTGCAGAACCTCTTCAGCCCTGCTCACGTTGGCTGGGAGCTCCATGGTCAGGAACATCAGGGCTTCGGTGAGGTGGTTCTGCAGCACGTCCCGGATGACTCCATACTGCTCATAGAAGCTGGTGCGGCCTGAGGAGGAAGAGGAGGTAAGATGCTGGTGAGCTGATGTGCTTTTCTTGCAGACTCGCCCTCTGCATGTGTAATGTGTGTGCCAAGGAGAACAAAGAGCACGAGCCCTAGCTGATTTGCACCAAGCTCCTCTTCTCCTGGCCCAGTAATTAACTTGAAGCTACCGAGCTCAGAGAAGCTGTGGATGTCTCATCACTGGTTCAAGGTCTGGTTGGACAGGGCTTGGAGCAACTTGATCTACTGAAAGATGTCTCTGCTCACAGCAGGGGGATGGACTAGATGATCTTCAAAGGTCGCTTTCAACCCAAACCATTCTATGATTCATTTGAAGCCTTTGCTCTCCCTCCAGAGGGGCTTCCAAAATGTCTCTGCTACTAAAATAGAGATAAAAGGTTCTAGGGGACTGCTTGTTCTCCACAGAGCCAGACATAATCCTCCTTTTGGGCGCTTACAGAGCCTAAACCCAGCAGGAGTAATGCTCTTGCTGAGTTCACAAAGGAGAAGGCAGCTTTGCTTTCTTGGACTGCTCGTGCTTTCAGGAGCTGCAGTCAGTGACTGGCAGCAACGTCCAGCCCAAACCTCCCACATACAGCACGATGCTGGCTCCCTGTGTAACCATCACCCTGACACTCCTGTCCCACAGGTCACAGCACCCAGGCCTTGGACTCCACACAACGTGCAGTTATACACAAAAGCTTTGACAGAGTAGCTGGAAAGCAGGGTCAGAACAGGGACCCCAGCAGGTCCATGCAATAAACGCTGCTCTTCGTTGTCTCTTTTTCCCCTGTTTTCATGTCCTAAGAAGGCTCTGGCTCAGCCTTCAGAGACAAAATTCCATGCACAAATCCCTGCCTCTCCTCCTCTGCCTGACCTCTCACGCAGATGGGAACAGGGGGAGAAGGACAATGCACTTAGGAAGAAAGTGACTCAAACAGATGCCTTTCTGCAGTCCAGCAGCAGCAGGCTGCACACTGCAGACTGCATCACAGCCGTAGGCTTTCCCTATTGATTGATACATTTATCTCCCTTGCTCTAATCCAAAGGCACATTCATTAATGTAATCAATGCTGCAGAACTGCTGGGAGCCAGGCTGCCAGCTGAAGCTGCACAGGGGAAAAAAAGACATCAAATGAAAACTCACAAAGTTGTTCAGAGCAGGGAGGGTACAGGGCTGGGGCTATGCACACACAACATTGATCTCCCTTAATCCCTCTGCAGTGCATCCCTCTCCCACAGACAGGCCCAGGTGAGGTCTGGGCTGCAAAACCAAAGATTACTCAAGTTTGATAAAATTGCATTAACTGAGTCTGTGGTGTTTGAGGAAGGAATAGAGGGAGGGAGGGAGGAGAAAGAGAGGAGAGGAGGTAAAGCGAGTGGAGAAGCAACCCTGATGTTGCAGAACCGAGGGCACCTGACAACCCAGTAAGTGCTGCGGGTGGCAGTCCAGCCCGGAGTGCTTTATGCTGAGCACTGCAGAGCGGATGCTGCAGCACTGCAGGGAGGGATTGCAGCCATGTCCTTCAGCAGGAGACCCATGCTAGCAACTTGGATTTTCTCTCTGCAATGCTCTTTCTTAATACAGAGAGGAAGGGACAGAAACAGGCAGACTAACACAGGCTGAGCTAGGTACCTGGACTGACACCAACTAGCTGACAGGAGCAACATCCAGGCGAAAGATGCAAGAGCATCTTCCAAAGAACAGCACTCGGTGTGAGCTTGGTAGCTAACAGGACAGCAATACAGAAGTGTTGTTGTTACAACAGCTGGAATGCTGCAGCGGAAGAGTGCATCGATTCCAAATCCAGTGCTTTTTACCAAGATTTGGGATAGAAAGCTAGGTACAACCCCCCAAAGACTCTGCAACTGAAAAAGGTGGGGGATTTCCCCCCTGCTCCCAGCTGAACTGCAATGGGAATCTTTTCTTGGAAGCAGCAATACTACCTGGAAGTGAGTCAGCCCCTAACATAGTCTAAGAGTCCCTCTCTATCTCCAGGGAGCAACATATCATTTATCTGCTCTTTTTTGTTACTGCCCCAGCCACTGCCTCAAGGCCCACTTACACATAGGTAATGAAGCTGCCAGCTCTCATCCACCCTAGCTCTGCACACTCGCCTCACCAACCTTTAGCATCCACAGTCTCTTTCAGGACAACCTCCACTCTTTCCACATGATGTCGGTTCCAAATTGGATCCAGAAAGTGTCGGTTCTGATCTCGAAAAGGCAGGATATGGGCTACAGCCTGTGAAGGGAGAAATCAAAGACCCAACAAAAACTCACCGCGTTGCCACAGTATCACTGCCCCATCCAGCACTGGGATGTGCCCAGCTCTGGAGCGCTAACAGACATGTCACACAGCAGAGAGCAGAGTGGGTCAGAGAGGAGAAAATCAGCAATGGAGTGATACATAATGGGGTCTCCAATGACTGCACACAGCAGACATTAAAGGTTTTTCTGAGGCATTTTGAGGTTTCATGTGTAAAGGCTGAACTACAAACTGCAAGACACTCAGTTTCTATCCGTCAAAGGACAAAGGGCTGAGTCAGACCATCCTGGGACTAACACACAGTTACAAAGTGCTGAAATACATCAGATCAGATGCTTGCACCACTAAAGCCATCTGCTCTTTTGGGGAGAAAAGGAAAAGAAAGGGAACAGAGAAGAAATCCCATCTCCTTGCAGCCAGACATACAACCCCCTGTGTAAAACATGGCCACAGTGCCGTGGCTGAAACAAAATGTGGCATCACATTCCTCTAAAAGAAGGATGGCATGTCCTTGAACACATTCCCTCTGGGACAATGCAGCTCCACAGCCGGAGCTGTCCCTGCAGCAGCCAGTCCTCCATGTCCTGAGTGGAGCACAGGGCAGGAAGAAACCTTCTCCTAAGCATCCCACAAAACTAACATCCCATCAGCTCCATCACATATCAAATTAAAAGCTGCTTCTAGAAGCCACAGCTAAGCAGAGAGGCCTGTGTGTAATGAGATGGGAGAACTAGGAGAGGGAAAGTGCACTGCTTATTCAGCGAAATCAAAGCCCTGACCTTGGTGAGAAGACCAGATGAATGCTGCATCTCTCCTTCAGGCACACACACAGTTCACCCCTAAAGTCTGGCCTCCCTCTGGAGAGGGGACCTCCATCACTCTAACTTTGTGATGCACATTTCCTCTGGTCTGTAAGATTGGCAAGTACAGGATTCCATAGCAAATAGATGCTTGGGAACAAACTCAGTGGCCCTGCCTCAATTTGAGAGGGGAACACCACTCATTAGATGCAGAGCTGACATCCAACACTCCCCCTGCACGAAGCCCCTCAACCTGCGCACTGCAAGCTGCTCACCTGTTTGCCAAGGTAGTGGTCCACCCGGTACATCTCCTCTTCCCTGAAGAAGCTCCTCAGCTCCGTAGCCAGCTGTTGGGCTGACTGCAGGTCATGGCCAAAAGGCTTCTCCAGTACCACACGCAACCAGGCTCCTGGAGGGGGCCTGCAGCTGCTGTTGATGTGCCGGGCAATCTCTGTGTAGGCAAATGGGGGTACTGAGAAGTAGAAGATCCTCCCAGCCTCCTTCAGCCCCTCCTGGCGAAGCAGTGTCTCGATCTCTCTGTTCAGCATAGTGTAGTTCTCGGCAGTCTTCAGCTGGTGGTATTGGCTCAGCTTAAGGAACTGGTCCTTGAGCACAGCACATCTGTTGGGAGACTCGTCTGGGGGACAGGACAGCTTCTTCAGCACATCAAACATCAACCTCTGCCCCGGCTCCAGAGCCTTCAGTGCAGCCCCATGGAAGGTGAAGCTGTGGCCGCTGCTCACTTGGTCCAGGTAGAGTTGGAATAGACCCTGCCATAAATACTTCTTGGCCAAATCACCTGTGGCTCCCAGCAAGACCACTGAGATGTGGCCCTGGGATGCTTCGGCCAGCGATGGCAAGGCTCCCATGAACAGCACTGTGCACAGGACTCTTCTCAGCATCTTGGGAGAGAAGAGGTAGGTCCAGGAGGACTAGAGGACAGGATTAAAAGAGGGAAAATCTGTCAATACATGTTATAACACTGCAAAGCACACAACACAAGGTACCTGCTTTCCCATGGCTGAACAGCCAGGACACCTGCATGGATTCTGCACCCTCCACGATTTGAACCACGGTAGTAACTGGGGCTCTTGAGAAGACTGCAGCCTCCTTATGCAAACTAAGAAGTGAAAACAGCATGTGCTTAATGTCTTTTGGTAGCATAAGGACTGTTCCCACAGCTGAGTTAAGGAGGTGTCAATGCCTTTAGCCTGTGAAGCTCAAGTCCATTTGAACACACATTTCAGAGCTGGCTACAAATGAACATATGTGCCTGCAAATTAAGTCCTGCTTTCAACAACCTCCTGCTTAGGACTTTGCTCAAATGGTATTATGTTCTCTTGGCATTGCTTCATGTCAATATTGTCACAGCAGCTCAGAGACAAGCACGACCACTGGCAGTTCCAGTACACAGGCTCCTCTTTAATACACTGACTTCAGCGACTCATGTGCAGCACCACTCTCACGAATGGAGCTGAATAAGGTCCTAATGAGCTACTGGGAGACAAATGATCTGATAAAACAACACAGGGGAAGAAGTTTCGTCCTTAAAATTGAGTCTAGACATGAGCCAGCTTGGATGCTGCCTCATGATGGTTGGCTATGTGGCCAGGAGACAATGTGGGGTTTGTGTTCTGCTACTGCAGCTTCCCATCACTGAAGCGTGCATGTCAGCACCCGTCCTGGCCTCCTCCACTCAGCCCCCATGCAAACCACTGCAGCCAGCAGCAGCTGGACTCCCTGACCAGAATGCCCTTTTGCTCTTATTTATCCTTGTTTCTCTGATCCAACATAAAGCTGGTTTTAAGAGAAACGCCACATTTAGTTCTTGCACCTAGAAACGCAGCAGTGACTACGCCTCAAGAGAGAGAATCCAGAACAAGTGAGTAAACCATTATGCTGTTCTCATTACATCAAGTATTACTTCAGAAGCTCTTACACTGGCTATCTCACTCTTTGATTTTCCTGTTTGGAAGCTCTGTTCAGCTGGAGCACACCCTTCACAGCACACAACAGTTAACTTCTTTAAGACTTCTGGTTCTGGTCAATACATTTATTCCTTCTATTCCTACCTGTGTGGGAAAACCAGGCATTTTTTGACAGCAAGAGGAAAAAGTACATGTTTTTGTTATACTGGTGCAGTGGTACTCTCACTAGGCTTTGCACTGGCATGATATACCATTTTAACATGGTAGTTCCATGACCATACAACTGAGAAACGGGTCTTGGGTACGGGAATGAACTTGATCATCTGCAGGCAGAGATAAGACAGAAAAGTGTCTCATCAAGTCATACATTCACAGTCAGCTAAAAAACATATCAGGGTCTCCACTGCTCCAGTTACAGCTGTACATATGCTCTAGGTCCAAAAGCTGTTAGCCTCTACCTGCCCAGACTTACTCAGGATTGTCTATCCTAGGCTAGAGCAAAAGGCCTAGACCTTGCTCCCCCTGAATGGCAGGGGAATAAAACATAGATGTTGCCCTAGCTTGACTGGCTCTCACTTTGGAATGCCCCCAGAAAAGACACTATTCCATCAGGAAGTCGATACAGGATCTAAATCACATAAGGGATGAGGATAACTAAAGCGGAACTTCTGAATATCTCTCCCTGTCTGCAGCTTGAACTGGTCTCTCTAAACCTCGTGTTTCTCTCCCCAGCACTCACCTGAGCAATACAGGACCTTCAGAGAAACTGCAGTGGCAGAAGTAGCTGGAAACTTGTCTTCTTCACAGCGCCTCCTGAGTGCAGATCTCTCTTCTCCTGTGACTGAGCGTACAGCAGACTCTGATCAGTGCCAGGTGAGCAGGGGAGATAAGGGAGGTTGTTCCCCTTCTGGTAAATGGGAGGAAAGACCCAATTACAGCAGAGTAAAAAGAACGTGTCTGTGCCAGCAGCGTCCCAGCACATCCGACCTCTCAGCCCATACACACTGGCTGTGAGAAACCTGTTGGCTGCTGCTTGTGAGCAGGCAAAATGCCAGCATATGTGGCAATTCCTGCTCCCAGAGTGTCTTCCTGACTCCTCTGCTTTGCATGTGAGCTGAGTGAAGGCCCTAGTGACCCTCCTCAGGAGCAGTCCCCACTCCAACTCTCAGGAGAAAGGGCTTCCCAAGGCTGCAGTGAGAAGGGGGCAGACCTAGTGAGCCCAAGGACAGCACCCATGTGATGCTGCTGTGCCCTCTGGGCACCCTAGCTTCCCTCTCAAAGGTTAGTTGGCACAGAGACTCCTTGGCTTTTCCTTCCCTATCTCCTGCATGGAAATCACTCAGCAGCTGAGCATCACTTAGGTGACCACAACTGCCACTGTCCAGTAGACACTGCTGAGCTCTGGAGAACCCCAACAAGGTGTAAATCTAACTCACATCACCTCTCCTGGCCTTCCATTGTGACTGGTTCCCATCCCTCCCTTCTTGCTGTGCTATTTAAGTTCCATTTATCCACTTAGGGAATTCAGCAAACAGTGCTGGCACTTGCAGGGGGCAGCAGTGTGGCTCCTGCAGTACAAATAATAACCATTTCAAGCAGAGGTTTGCTCTTCCCTCCCCCGCTATGGGGTTATAATGCACATGACAAACTTTCTCAAGTCAATAAATTAATATTTACATTTGCTTGAGCAACCTTTGTTCCAGGAACTAAGAAGTCTGACATACTGCCCACTGCAGCCTGGCAAGTTACTGCCACGCTGTAGAGATGGTGGATGAAGAGCAGGTACCTACCACGGAGGAAGGGTTTGGGTGGATCATACTTTTCTATGTACCCAAGCAAATGAATGACCCAAGTAGTTTCCTGGCAGATGCAGCTGCCCAGTCACATGCATTCCCAAAGCGACTGAAACCAATTTCACAACACTCCCAATTGCAAAACGCTGTGCTGCACTGCCCAGAATAAGCACAGGAAACCCAGGGATGTGTTTTACTTTCACATCAGATAAGTTCCAGGTTGACAGGAGCCCACTGAAGGCCTTGGAAGCTCCCTTTGCTGTACGGGAAACATGAAAAACACCTTTTTTGTTACTGTCGCATCCCCACTGAAAAACAATGGACACGAATGGGGGCGGCCATGGGCTGCGCGCAGGTAACACAGGAAGGGAAGAGCGACAACGTTAGCTGAAAACCAGGATAAACATCCCGGATATGCAAACACCAGAGCAGGAATGACCCCACCGTCAGCTCCGGGAAGGTCAGAGGCTTAACGTGGAGACTCACATGAAGAGCAAGCTGAGGGATGGCATGAATTAAGTATTTGGCCTTTTCCTGTCAACCACCCAGCGCAGCACGGCCACGGCCTCGCCTCCTGGCCCCAGCGCGGTGACAGCTCGCTCTCCCAAGCCCTGGAACAGCAGGAGGACGGCGTTAGAGCGAGGCAAACGACGGGAGAGAGACCCGCACCTCAGCACCCGCTGACGGCGCCGAGCACCGGGGTGCAGCGGGCCCCGTGAGCCGCTCTCCGTGCACAGCGGGAGGAGCGCGGGCAGAGCCTCACGGCAGCGGGGCGGGACGGCAGCGCGGAAGGCACCGGAACCGGGGCCGCAGCGCCCGCGCACCCCGCTCCCGAAGGGACCTCCCGCCGCCCCTCGGCCGCTGAACCCGGCGGGGGGAGCCGCCCCAACACCGGCCCCACCGGCGGCCGCGCCGCCCCTCCCGTCCCGTCCCGTCCCGTTCCCCCACTCACCCACCCCGGGCCCGCGAGTGGGGCGGTGGCGGCGGCGGCGGGTGCGGGCGGGCCCGACACAACGCCCCGCCTGCCGGCGAGCTCCTCCCACCGCACAGAGACTCTGTGGTTGGCGTCGGATCTCACCGGGCAGCGGCGGTCGGGAGGGGGGGGGAAATCACTGACTAAAGGAGAGTTGAGGGCGCAGAGCTTCCCCCCTTTGTTAACAACCCCATTTGGCCTGAGCACCGCGCTGGGACTGTGCTCTGGGCACTGGTCTTAACGCCCTTCGACACACGGGGGTAGCATCAGGCGTGTCCGCATGGTGCGTTCTGCTGTAGAGCAGTCGGGCTGCTGAGGTTTGCCATGTACCATTAAACCAGAACCTCTGAGTTCCTACTGTGGCCAGGGCTGTCAGTAACCAAAAGAAATCCTCTCTGTTTTCCCCAGTTGCATTGGCTGGTCTAACTTATATATAAATATTCTCTTATATGTATATTCACATATATGCACAGGATCCTAGGCTGGTTTGGGTTGGAAAGAACCTTAGAGCTCGTCCAGTTCCAGCCTTTTGCCACGGGCAGGGACACCTTCCACTACAGCAGGTTGCTCCAAGCCCCATCCAACCTGGCCTTGAACACTGCAAGGGATGGGGCAGCCACAACTTCTGTATGCAACCTATGTATATAGATATATGTGCGTGTAGGTACTTTTGCCTACAGATCTTGCATTGCTGAAATTATTGTGTCTCTAGCATATGACCTTCTAACTACACATGGGCATCTACAACTCCAGCCCTATGCTTTCTAAACAAAGGAAGTAGCTTGGAGTGCGCTTCAGTTCAGCTCAGCAGTGCTTTTAGACACACCGAGTTTTGGGATTGCAGGTGGGGTGATGAGAGGCAGACAGAAGAGAGGTAAAAGTACAAATGCCCACTTCACCCAAGAACGCACAGAGCAAAGCACTTAAAAAATGTCCTGGTACAATGTAAAGCTTGTGCTGGAGCTCAGTTGTTGCCCTCAGACCCACTGAGGCGAGCAATGGCATCAGTATTATTTCCATAGCTGGCTCCACTAAGTACATTAATGTATGGAAATCTTTAGTTGCTGGCTTCTAGACCTAAACAGGCTGTAGGCAGACTTCAGGCTCTCTGCTAGCATTGGGCTCACTGCTATGCTGGGGCTCTAATTATGGATTTCCCTAGCTCCATATAAAAATAGGTATTAAAACCTCCTCTGTTAAGAGCCCTGGCCAGCCAGAGTTCACACATAGCATCCTGGACTTCAGAAAAATGTTGTGTTTGCAAACCATGGCTCATATGGCAATGGCAAGGAGTCGTAAAGCAGACTTACAACTAAATCACTGCAACCGTATCCCATCATAAATGGGATACATTACATTGTATGGCAAGATTAAACATCGTTCCTATTGTCTTTTTCACTCAGAGGCCTCAAATTATTTTACTCATCTGGATACACTTTGCCACAACTCCTTTACAGATGGGGAAACTGAGTCACCTTGGCAGAACTGAGAACAGCACTGGGGTACCTTGCTTCTCAGGCCGGTAGTCTATCAGTGACATTATATATGAGACAAACCTTGCACTGTATTTGTGATATAACTTTGAATTATGTTTACAGTGTTATTTCTTGATGCCATAACCTTCTTTGCCAATCCATTCCGGAGCTTATTCCATCAGCATGTGTGCCTGGTGTCAAACAGACCCTTTATGGTGTTATAAAGGTGTCAGAGTGATGCAAAGTGCTAGCACTCAGGTTTGTCTGCAAGATGCAGGGCCAAATTAGGGATGAGGGACACTGCAGGTTACCCTGCTCCACATTACACATCACTTTGTGATTCTGACCATGTCACTGATGCAGCTTTGGAGTAATTCTGAGTGCCTCTAACAGCAGTCCTGTTCCTGACACCCAGCAAAGGGTAGATCACAAGCATAACCCAAGTGATTAAATTCAACAGATTAAACTTGGTGAAGGGGTAAATAACTCATCTGAAAGAGCCAGCTGGACAAATAACCCAGCTCCAGAGATCTCTCCTTACTACCCTATGTGATATTACTACACATTTAGCAAGAAGCTTAGGGGAATCAGTGCTACATCCCATTGCTTGCAATTTAACCCATTATTGACCTGATGGCAGAGCTCGTTCAGCTTGCAGAAGGTAACCTGCGTCTGTTTGAGTATAGCAGAGTGTGAGAAGAGGTAAATGGGAGTCCTCTTTGCAGCCCACTTTCTGTTCTGGAAGAGAAAGGGGATTTGCCATCAACTTCAGCTGAAATCATTGAAGTGCAGATCTCCCTGCTGGGTATTTCTGGCACGCAGAATGAGATGAACAGCTGAAGCCCTGGTCACTTAACCCTGTTATTATAATAGATAGAGCTAGAAGCTGAGAGCAGTGACAGTTGTCTAACATCTTCTGTTGAAAGACCATGTTTTCAGCTGGTTAGATGATGCCAAACTTCCAGACACTGAGGCTGAAATTGCAGGGGGTGGGCTTGCTTTAGGCAGTTGTTTTTTGGACGTCTCTGTCAAGAAATGGTGCAGCTATTTCTGAGCTGAAGGTCAGGAAATGAAATAGGTTTTCTGATCATGTTAAAAATATCTCGGTTGTTTCATTAAGGAGCTCTAACAACTCATAATTTGGGGCAAGGAAGATTTCATCCGGATGATGGCTTGGATCACACTGTGCTTCTCTCAGTGCCTTGTCGGACCTACTCAGACACATGCTCCTTTAAGGGAAATAGGTCCAGTGTGACAGATGAGACGTGTGATGCCAATAAAGGAATAAAAGGTAGTTAGCAAGGGAAGGGGGCTTTAAGGACCCAGGTGTTCTACAAGCAAACAAAAGCTCTGTAGGAAACAGCTGGTTTGGGTGGTGTTTCAGAAGAGGGAGTATTAAGCTGATAAGAGCATCTTATCAGTTGAGAGACATCAGCCTGTAAGCCCTGGGTAAAGACTGTGCTCTGACACAGTAATTGAAAGGTGGTTCTTTAGTTAGGCATGGGAAAAGCAATATAAAAAGCGAGTTTGATGTTATGGGAGTTTGTTGCCTTTTGGTGTTGCATTCCCAGCTCAGTCTGAAGGTGTGGAGAGCTGAAACTGAGCCAGGATGGGGTTCGTACTGCTTTGAAGAGGTAAGGTGTTGCTTCAGTACAGCAAGCTTTTGATGAAGTAATCTTAGTGGAAGCTTGCCTGAAACCTGCCAGATTTATGAGCCTCTGCAAAGGCATCTACTGCCAATGATGTATAGATGTGGCTGGAAATGTCCGAGTAATCCCAATGGATGCTTTATCATTCCTCAGTTCTTGTGTGTTGCTTCATGAGCTGGGAGCCCTGCTGCAGAGCTTGCTCTGCCCGTGCTGGGGGACAAGCTTCCAGGAAAGCTCTGGAGTTCTAGACTCTCAAGCTCACATGATTTTGTGTAAGGCTGTTAACTCCTGCTGTGAAGCAATAAAGCAAGCTGTACAGCAGCTGTGGTTCTTGGAAAATAAGGTTGCTGGCTTGTGGCTTCTGGAAAAGCAGGCTGTAAAACTGTAACAGCAGTTCTTAAACTGGTGTGGGAGAGAGTAAGAAGTGCTTTGTTATGGCTACTGGGGCAAATCAAGGACTTAGCTACTTAATGAGTTCT